TGTAACGTCAGAGATGTGTAAGTGAAGATGGCGATTTCAATCAACACGATATCTGTGTAATCATGTGTCCGATAAAACCCCGTAACTGGGACACATTATTTTTTTGATATTTTTAGGGTTTAGACATGTCAATTTTTCGTTTTCAACGATAAAAAAGATTGGGGACTTAAATCAAGTCCCCAATGTTTTTTATGTCCCCATTTTACGACTTGCGTATCTGTAGCAGGTCCCCAGTATGGGGGAGCCACACACGCACACACACACTCAAGCAAAGATATGGAAAAATATAAGATTCTGGAAAATAATATCTTTGTTCTACGTCCTTTCTACGTCCTTTTTTTCTTTGATAAGGTACCCCCAGTCCGTATAAAAAAAAATAACACTTTTAAAAAACTACTGAAGCCTTAAAATTGAATGGATTTGCAGCATTTCCGAAGAGTACAATGAATTTTCCTTAAGAATTTGAGAATCCTTTTTGGGTGGGTATAAAACAATGAATTAAATTTTAGTTCCTTCAAAAGATTTAATTTAAAAAAAGGTCCATACTTGTATATAGCCAACACAGCCAAATTAAGATCGCGGGAATCTAATATCAAATTTAACCTCGCATGTTATATATCATAATTATATAAGATATATAAAAATAAGTAGAATATTTTCTACTATTCACTCATAAAAAGTATAGTGAAGGTGAATGGAAAAACTAAATGTGTGAGAATCTATCTATTCAATATATATTTAAGTTAGACGTACAGATATTTATTCTCGGAAAACGTTTTAACCCCCTTCTTTCTCTCTCTCTCTCCACTTGGCAAAAAATAAAGGGGGGGTTCCAACCCCCGGAACCCCCCCTCTCGATCCGCCAATGGAGTTTTATTTTTTAACATTTGTGATTAAAGAAAAAAGTAATGTGTTTTAAAAGTAAATTGTAAAAAGAAATCATACAACTTGCAGTTCAGAGTTGGTCATAAAACATAAATCCAAATTTGTTAAAAGGACATTTTGCACCCTATATACTTAAGGACAGATGATTTTTTTTTTTAAATGGATACCTTGATTGGTATGTTAATTTTTGGACCTACTTGTTTAATTTTGTACATGGTGCGAATGATAAATTTTCTTTCAAAATATTTGGAAGTTTTAAACTTCCTAAGATGTTCAAAAAGCTACCTAGTTTTATTATACTGATGTATATTATAATTTCTAAGTCTATTGATTTATCGCTGGAAATTAAAATTGGCGGGAAAATTGCATGAAAACCATCCGAGGGTGGATAGCAAAAACTATACCCCGGGGCACAGGCACTTGTTTGGTATACGAGGTTCCCATACGAAACAAGTGCCTGTGCTCGGGGTATAGCTTTCTATGCGTGGAAATTTTCAGACTATGAATTATAGTCATTTTTAAATACCTTCCTAACTTTATATAGGAAACATTTTAACAGAAGTATAATAATCTACAAAATCTGATCAAGGTGTGAAAATAACATATGATTTTTATACCGTTGAGAGGATATACAATGTGCTTTACAAAAAATATTATTATTATTTCTTCATTTATTTATGTATGTATTTCATTTTTTAAAATCATTTATTTTGTTGTTGTTGTTGGTGGTGGTGGTACAAGGACAATATCCTCTTCTTGACCACGAACAGTAATTCCTGGAATAATTCTCAAAATGATTTTCTTAAAATAATTTTTATTTTATACATCTCAATATCAAACAGGTTTCTCATTTTTTTTTTCAGTGCATAATTAGCATATAACATTTAAGCGATTTTTTAAATATAATTTTATATCTTAATCTTAAAATATCGTTTTATAAGATGCAGGCGTAGTTATTTACTAACTCTCGGCATAAAAAAATTGATAACACAAGCATTGTTTCTTTTTACCTGTTTACGACATGTACTAAGTTCAAGTTATCATGCTTGCCTTTATTAGCCTAACCCTGAAAGTGAAAGTAGCGGAACATACACCGGAGTCAAGGTCTTGGTTATCTAATCTAATGACTTTTAAAGGAGTTTATCGACTGTTCAGAAAGACTGTTCAGTTTCAAAAAAGGTATTTTAAAAATATCTATATCTTCATGTAGATTAGTCTACAATTTTAAATCTTTTATTTATTATTTCATTGAGATGTTTCATTCCGATCGTCTGCTCAGCATAACTTCGTGTTCACTAGGCCTAACGTACATTGAATATTACATATTCTTACTTTTGGCCTATTTTCATGTTAATGGTTTCAATACTGTAAATAAACAGCGTCTTATATGCCTGTTGCTCTGTGGCCAGAGTCTGAGAAAATATCTATCAGGGATGCAGGGTTATGAAGTTTTTCTTCCAAATAGAAATACCCCAGCTAACATGAGCCAAGTACTGTGAACACAGTTTGTTTTTTTATATGCATACAACCCATCCCTTCTTGAAAAGGGTAGACCTGAAACAATCGCCTGTAAATGTGGTCAAATGTGATTATCAATACAGTTATTCACCTGAATTGTTGTCATCTTGTGGTGATTTGAATAAATTATTGATTCATATTTCAATAAAGATCAGTCAAAGATGCAGAAAAATGTCTTGCTCTTAAAAAATAAAGCAAAAAAGAATTACTTAATGATGACTTTTGTTTTTAGGATACAACTGATGTCCACTAAGTCTGACCACCTCCAGAGAACAGCTGAGAATTCCAGGGATCAGGTTAACTTAAAAAAAAGTCCAGTTATAACAAACACTACATTTACAGTGTACATCAAAAGTCAAATGCAGTGACATAATGAAAATATTGTTTGCAAAATTATTTCAAATGTTAGTACGATTCTCAGTTAACCTTTGACTTTCAGTAGAGGGTGACTTCTTCAACACTACCTAATGAAAGTCTCACAAGTGGCAAATAGATTTTCATTGGTTGAGAAATTAATAACATCAGAAATTTTAAATTGTTGTTGACAATGATGAGACAACTTAATGCCCCTCTCTGCCTTATGAAACACTATCATTGATCCACTTGTTGACATTTGCCGAAATGTATATATCAACTGTAAATGAAAGGCTGTGTAAATTTCAGATGCTAATTATGTAACGTCGAGAATACCACGCCGTAATGAAAGTCCAAGGATAACAGAGAATCATACTATTTTGAATTAATTTTAAGTCATTTCTTTGTTAATTAGGCTGGCTAACTTCATGATTTTTACTTTGTTGTTCTTTACTACAGCTGATGTCTGTACAGTTTGATGTTTCCTTTGCTGTTGATTATCACAAGTGCTGTCTTTAAAGTTTTGTGTTTATGCATGCTGTATCCATACATATACAGGTGTTTTTCTTGTCAATATCTACAGGTTGTGTCCATAGCCACAGTTATAGGAATGCGTAATGAGTCCACCACAGTCAAAGGCCTGACTCTGAAAGTACATGAAAGATCCTTATCCTTCAAGGCAGGACAGTGGTGAGATATGTCATCATCTTTGCCTTTCTGTCTCCTTTCATTTTTGAAGCTTTTTCCATAATCTGTTGAGAAAGTTTAAGAATTACTTTGCATTTCTAAAAAATATATTTTAAAAAAATTATCATTTTCTCAGTAAATTTTCTGCAAAAATAAATTATTTTTGAGATAAAGTGTTTTCTATAACAGCATAGACATTTTGTCGGATTTGGAGAAAGGTCAAATTTGTCCATCTTTTCTATAACAGGGTAGACACGTTCCTGCCGGGTTTGGAGAAAGTTGGAGGCTTCTCAATGAGTTCATCACCAGGAACTCTTCAAAGGGAGGGAACTCTTGACCTAGCAGTCAAGTACAGTGATCATCCTCCAGCAAAGTGGATCCACGAAAAGGTACATTGTACCACTTTGGCTTTTTTCAACTTTTTAATGCACAAGAAACAAAATATTATAGGTAAACTGCCTTAATGTATGCACAGGTACACAGTGCATGGTTGTATTATAAAGATATTTTTTACCCAGACTTACTGGAAATTTTATTTTAGTATTTTGATAGGGTAAATATAGATGCCCAAGTATTTTTTAATATTAAAAATGAATAAAATGTGTAAATATTAAAGTTTTATATGTAAATGTACACTGAGGAAAAAGAATTTTTAGAGGCCCGAGTCCAGATTATTTTTCATAACACATTTACGCCACTGAAGACAGCTTTTTGTTTACCCATCTACCTTTTACTTTAATCTCAATGAAATGGTGAGATTATATTAAAGGTAATCCAATGAAATATTGGAGGTGGGGGGGTAGAATATCCCTGTAATTTGAGATTCTCTGGATGAAATATTTGTTTTCTCCATGATAAATTGATATTGATTAAATTTTATTTTAATTCTTTTTCTTTTCAGTGTAAAGTTGGCACAGAGCTTCAGATCCGAGTCGGTGGTGATGTCTACTTTGATCCTGACCCAGACAAACCTTCTCCTGACCTTCTACTAATAGCGGGGGGCATCGGAATCAATCCTATACACAGCATCCTATGTCATGTGACTGATCTTCTAGAATCCCATTGGACAAACTCCCCTAAACTTGTGTCTCTACTCTACAGTGCATCATCCATGGATGAACTTATTTTTCATGTAATTTTTGGTTGCTTCTTTTCTGTGAAATGAAGGTATACTTTTCATATAGAGAAGGAGCAATATTTGACGTTATCTCGTAATTAAAGACTCGTTGCATTATTTTGAGTTCTCTCAAAACACAGGGGTACACTGTACTGAATATTATGTTGTAGGAGGACATAAAAAGATTGTGTGTAAAGAACCCAGGGATCCTGTCTTATAGGAGCTTTATAACCAAAGACAAGTCTGAGCTGAGCAGTGAAATTCAAGGTATTGATCAAAGAAAGTAACAGTAGAAGTCTGTAGTTTGCTTCATCTTGTTATCTGCAAACATAATAGAAGAGAAATACCCTAGATATTGAAGATAAAATACCATGCAAAAATAGTTATTGAGACTTTCAAATCTTTGATATATCCTTAGTTTTCAAGATATCCGAGTTCTCTCTATTGAAGTTCAACTTCATCTCTTTATTTGTACCTGTAAAATTATCTCAGACAAAGACTTTGTAAATGTGAGTACTGTAGAAGCACAAATTTTTGTGGGGATAAAAGTTTGTTTGCATTGTCAACAAAAATAGTTTTGTTGTTTTGAAAGTAACCCTATTCAATATATAATCATATATAATATTTCACGTGGGATTTTTTAATTTCATTGATATTTGTTAACAGTGAAATAAACGAAATTTAATTCCCCATGAATATTTGTGCTTTTACAGTATATACTAAAGCCAAATTTTATGTTAACAGTTTCATGTCAGCTCTAGTGTTTTATCATTGTCAGGTCATAGAATCTGCCGTGAAGACATCCAGTCTCAGGTAGAGAAGATGAAGTCACATGACCTTATAGTGTTTATATGTGGGCCACCTCCCATGATACACGACATGGAAAATATACTGGAGTCTGTCGGAGTGCCCAGACAGAGGATACAATACGAAAAATGGTGGTAGTCACCTACTGCAGACATTGAAGTGGAGAGAGAGACAGCTCTACTGTCCTCAGGGATTATTGATATTATGTTGCATCATGTTAATTCTTGTGAATTTAATTATTTCATATTAAAATAATTTTTTTTTACAAAATACTGTATTTTGTTGTATCAGCTTATAATTTTTGGTGGTTGTTTTGTATAAAAAAACAACTCTTAAAAATCGATCACTTTGATGACTAAAAAATGAACAAGTATTTTAAAAACCCACTTGACTGATGAGGCAAAGTTTTTTTTCTGAGAAAATGTTGGTAGTTAATTCTCTTTTCAATTTTATGTGGTTTGATTAAGCTCTGATGATGGAAGGCAAATTCTATTTCTCAGAAGACACTTAGGAACATATATTGCTTGAGAAGTACATGTCTATTTCTCAGGTTTGAGTCAACCAATGCAGAACTTAAAAGATCTAGATGTGGATATTATACAAAAAAGAGAACCAACTTGTGTGTGTGGATCCACCAGCCGGCCCCTTTCTTTTTTTTTTTAAAGGAAGGGGGGGGGGGGGGGTTGGATCATCCTAGCTTGTAAAGTTATATGACTTTCCTGATATTGAATAATCATTCGTTGAGGAATTGGTTTGATACATATACCCCAAATTACAGTTTTGTTATCACAATTTCCTAAGTGATTGTGAGCAATAAATATCTATGCATCTAAAAATAAAGAATAAAAGGAAAAAAACAATTATGTTTCTGAATTACTGACATCTATTTTTATAAGACAAGAAATTTATTTGGAAAAGTGTATTGAAGATATAAAAGTAATAATGTCAGGGTAATAAATGCTTTTGTAAAATTGAAGATGGTCAGTTGTGGTTAAAAAAATAATGATTGAGTTAAATCGATTGTGCGAATTCCCGATAAAAGCTCTTTGCTTACTTTAAAACAAATTTATAATAAGATCGGGTTCGATGTTTCGCAAACGATAGAACTTGCATTGCGGAAGTGGGAAGAGCTGCTTACAGACAGACAATATTTTGACAAGGAACTTGAAGGAAGAACCAAGAATTGAACGAAAACATAATTTTCCAACGTTAACAGGTAAGTGAATGATTAAATGTCAACTCAGAAAAACTGACAGGGACTGTGCATACGGACATTTTGCTATCCTGCGTCACCCGATGAGTCAGATACGCCGGTTGGGCTGTGTATGATTGTTTTTGTTTTCTGAAATACTTTGATCAATTTTAATACTTACTTATTGGATTGAAGTTCACATAAGGTAACGGAATTCCAGATAATATGAGAATAATCTCTTTCAAATCAAATTTGTTGTGAAGTCTAAATGTTTTTTGATGAGTACAAAGAAGTACTAGGCTATCAGCTGCATACTGTAGTTACATTAATTGAGTGAAGGAGTTACGTTTTCCAGGTTCCAGTAATGTGTGGAAATTATATATATATCATATGTAATGTATCGTACATTCCTCATCTTTTAAGTTTTATGGTTGATTAATTATCCTGGTGTATCATTTTGATAAAAAGTTTATAAGATATGATGTCTGGGTTCTTTCAGGTTTAAATCACAAGTAATCAACGTCAGCATGTGGAAGGCATCAGCTGGACACAATGTAAAGGCAGGAAATCCCCCGACTAATGATGAAGACGACGACTGGGAGACCGAGGCAGATTTTGTGGTAATAGAATTATACAGCATTACAAGACCTTAAGAACTAATGTTACAGAAAATACAAGGTTTGTGGAATCAGGAGGAAATTAGCGGAGGTGGAATGAAATCTTTGAACACATGTATTTTCTTTCTGTGACTAATTGTTAAGAAAAAGAACTACAATATTGTAAAAATCTCCCAGATAACCAAGTGTTCAAAATACTTAGATTAAATTGCACAGCAAACAAAAATTGTTGGGACTTCATACTCAATTTCACATTTTAATGGTATTATTCCAGAACCAGTGTTAGAAATAAAGAAGGTTAAACTACATCTAGAATTAAGTAATGAATAACTTCATTTGGTGTGCAGTCACACAATTATTTGGTCAGGGGAGTATAACAAGTTATGTAGTTATGCATTCCTAGGTTACATTGTATGCATTTAAAGGAGATTGTGATTTCAAGAGCTCATGACTTTGTTGAGAACTAGACAGGATCAAATAAATTTAACTGCAGGACTCCTAAAGACATAAATTTAATACATGTTTATCCACGTACACTGTATATTTACAGAATGATGTGAGTGAACAGGAACAGAGATGGGGAGCCAAGACGATCGAGGGGTCGGGTCACCAGGGGTCGCTCAGCCTGTCCCAGCTCCGACAGGACGTGTCCCAGGACGATAAAACCGTCAAACAGAAACAGATGGAGGAGGGGCCTAAAGCTTCCTATGGTTACGGGGGCAAGTTTGGAGTGCAGAAAGACAGAATGGACAAGGTATTGATACATGTATTGTGAAACCTGTCTTACCAGGGTGTTTCATATTCTGAAATCTTGTCTAATGCAATGTATACTTGAACTTGGTCAAGTCCCTATCAGTAAATTTCATTTTAAAAGTGGGGTCTACTATAGAATGTTGTCTAAATTTGGCCAATTTCTATGAATCAGTTGTTTACTCCAGATTAGACAAGTTTTACTGTATGTTTAAAAATTAAAATTAAATTATTTACTTATACTTTTAAATCTGATATAAGCCCTGATGAAATAAATTGTCAATGGATGGAAATATAAAGATGTGTGATAGCACTTTAGAATTTGAAATGATACTTTGGAAAAGGAATGCCTGTTAAAAATTAAAAATTAAATGCAGTAAAGAAATTTCTACATGGTTTCATATTGATTTATGAGAAATGATTATTGAACAATTTCATTCCTTTAATTCCAGTCGGCTATGGGAGCGGACTACGTGGCAGAAGTAGGAAAACACAGCAGTCAGACGGATGCTTCCCGGGGATTCGGGGGGAAGTTTGGTGTGCAGAAAGACAGGCAGGATAAGGTACGTCACCTGTGTATTCTTCACAAACAATCAGAAGGTCCATCAAATCAGTCTGTGCATGTGTTTATGTAATTAAAGTCATCTTTATGTCTTTCTATATATATGGAGGAATTTGCCACATATTTAGCTCACTTGAGTTGAGTTTCTGATAGAAAAGTGTATGACGTCCATCTGTCTGTTTGTCAAAGTTTCTTTGGGTGAAGGAATTCAAATTTGTTCAGCAGGAGAGCCAGTCCCTCTTTAAAGGGGAAATAATTAAGAATTTATGAAAATTTTGTTGCATATTTTAAAAATCTTTCAAGAATCACTTGGTTAGGAAAGATAAAATTTATATGAAAGGTTCATTACATAGTGTAGATTCAGAATTGTTAAGATCATGACCCTCATAAAATGAGGGGGGGGGGGGATAATAGGGGATTAAATTTTATGTAGGAATATGTAAAGAAAAATCTTTTAGAACAGCAAAGCCATGTTCAGTCATATTGATATGAAATCATCTTTGGATAGTTTACATTCCAGCTTGTTCAGATCATGACCCCAGGGGATAGTATAGGGCCACGGTATGTGATCAGAGTTTGACATAGGGAAAATATCTGCTGAAGAACAGCAAGACCTTATTGACTTGGTGATCATTGTGGGGACAGACCTCTCGTTATTAAATATGTTTGTTTGTAAACACAGCTAATCTATATCTTTATATAAAAACTTTAACATGTAAATGTATGATAATGATTTCCTTATGTCAATTGCATATGTGCTTCCTGGTAAATAATTGAATCGAAATACTACATTGTATTCTACTATTTATCAATTTGCGCATTTAGAGACCTTGAAAGAATTGACATTAATTTTTATTTCCTTTATTGAATCAACGTAATATGTTGATTGTATATTGTCTTTGCAGGCAGCAGTTGGGTTTGATTATGCTGGTAAAACAGATAAACATCAATCTCAAACAGGTTTGTCAGTTTATGAAAAAATTAACAGACATTTAAAATCAGCAAATACATTGTTAATATTATTTATAAGACAGTGAAGAAAGGGTTATAATACATGTATGATATAGTGTCATGGGAAGAATAGCATGAAGCAGTCTCTTAATACTCTCAGATTTTACCAATTTCTGATGAAATATATTTCGGTGAATGCTAAGTGAATAATCATTGGATGAATTGTACTTCTATTGTAACTAATAAGATTGACAAATAACATACATTCTCTTTATATTTTATATAATTACAGACTCTATATTTGAAGGAAAAAACCATTTTTCATTTCATAATCTCATTGTTCAAGCAAGAATTTTATTGTGCATGTTAATATCTTGACTTGAGAATGTCATCATCGATTGAATGAAATTTTCACATGTACATCTATTTCGCAGTGTGTTCAGAAAATAATTTCATGATTTTTAACAATTAATTCATTATTCATATTAACACATTTAACTAAAATACAAACTGGATACTAGTGGGACATGTTGCATGTTTTGATATCTGCTTTTCTTGCCTGTTCATCTCTTTGATCATGTTGATGTGAATGTAGATTATTCTACGGGTTTTGGAGGGAAATATGGAGTTCAATCTGATCGTAAAGATAAGTCAGCGGTCGGATGGGAGCATCAGGAAAAAGTCGAAAAACATCAATCACAACAAGGTTTGGAAACATGAGAATTTGTTAACATTTTTTATGTCAATCAAACACCAAGTTTTTAATCAATGTATGATTTTGTATGTTTGCTTGTTTACTATACAACGTTCTGTTCTTGTATTCAAGCATGATGAATATGACATCTTTCTTTTTATGGAGTGTTTGTGAATGATTTGACTCTGGGTTCCTTTACGTTGTCATGTCGTTTAACTCTTAATGTTGTTCTTGGAGTATGTAAGTGTAAGTCTGTGCCATTAAGACAATGAATTGACATTGAATTCTGATTGTTGTAGATTACTCTAAGGGGTTTGGAGGTAAATACGGTGTACAGAAGGATCGACAGGATAAAGCTGCCGTTGGATGGGAGCACCATGAACAAGTCGACAAGCACGAGTCACAAAAAGGTAATATAGCAAGGGAGATAAGTTGACAAGCAAGAGTCTTAAAAAAAGTAATACAGCAAAAAGGGAGATAAAGAAAAAAACAATTTGTTGTTTAATGTACATATAGTTATAATCTCTACTTTCATTTTCTTTAGATTATTCCAAAGGTTTTGGTGGGAAGTTTGGAGTTCAGAAAGACAGACAGGATAAATCAGCGGTAGGCTGGGAGCACCACGAACAAGTAGACAAACACGAGTCACAAAAAGGTAGACATCCGGCTATCAGGCTTCATGTACTTATTGTCAGATTGTAGAGTCGCTGCCTCAGTTTATGTGAAAAAAAAAATTTCTACTATTTTTCATTGCTGAGATACCAAGAGCTCTTCTTGATATTCAGTAAACAAAGGTGGCCAAGACATTTTTATGAGATTATTTATTCATAATGGTCATATTAAAAGGGAAACGTCTACATTTGATATAAGCCTCTGAATACCTGAGTATATCCTATCAGATTACTCTAAGGGATTTGGAGGGAAGTTTGGGATACAGACTGACAGAGTGGACAAGTCAGCTGTTGGTTTTGACCACATAGAGAAAGTTCTGAAACACGAGTCTCAGACAGGTTTGTCCGTGTGACTTGCATGGGTGTTGTCATCTCCACATGAGTGTTGTTTTTCTCCACCTTTTTTTATTACAGCAGCCCCAAAAATTACATCAGACATTTACATATTAGTCAAAAACAACGAAGTTGAGTTTTCAGTAACTGGGAGGTGGGAGGTATGAAAAAAGATTGTGATGAGGGCTGGGCAATAAAAGTAAAAAAAAAAAATAATTACAATTTTAGAGATTTAGGATTTTCTTGAATCTAGTCTTAATAGGTACCAATGCTATCTAGCATGATTTGAAAAAAAGAAATGATCTATGATTCTTGCAATGATTACACAAGCCTTTAACAATGTATAGTGTTAAATAATAATTGAAGGAAATAACATATTTAGATAACAAATAAGTATTTAAAAATATGAACTTCTCTGAATGCCTGGATAACTATATGTGATTTTAATCTAATTAAAGTATAATTGTTTGAATCAGTTTTGATTAGAAAATGCATAGCTGTTATTTCTGTTTGCTTTTCCTGAATGTAGAAAAAATATATAATTTTATATTATGATTTTATAGCTGTAATGATTTAATTCTGAAGGAATGTTGTGGGTAAATACAATACTTTGTAAATTCAGAGGTATTTTGGTGAGCATTTTCAATTCATTGCTGATTTGAGGAACCTGAGGATAAGACTTCCTTAAGATAATAAAAAAAAATGAATGGAATTATTTACAAGAGGCTAAATATGTCAATATATACTTTTTACTTTGATACTGAAAAAGGAACAGAAAGTTTCATGGAGTTTTCTTACTGCACCTTTGGAATGAAGTTAGACTTGCAAGTTTCACATTAAAATTGATGTCTTTTAGTTGTGTTTTTTTTTTCAGATTTTATGATTTTCTGTAGTTATAAAGTATAACTTCATTAAGGTGGTTGTATTTTGACTGTTTTTTTTTTTCCAGACTACTCCCGGGGTTTTGGTGGTAAGTACGGAGTACAGACAGACAGACAGGACAAGTCAGCAGTGGGGTACAGCAGTCACGAAAAGGTCCCCCTCCACCCCTCCCAGACAGATATGAGTAAAGGCTTCGGGGGAAAGTTTGGGGTGGATTCAGAAAACAAAGACAAGGTGGGCAAATCATTCAACAGGATCTTGTTTCATTGATGTCAATTCAGAGGTCTTTCTTGTCCTTTACTAGATTGTTCCATGTTAATTCTTTGTTTTACACCACCTGTATGTATAAGTTTACCATGAATTATTGCTGTGAAATATTAATTAATTAAACTGGCAGATATAGTCTAAAAACTAAACCTATACAGAGCTCCAGATAAGGTGCGTATTTGCAGAAATACGCATTAAATTTTACAAAATACGCATTAAAAATGAAAATAGAGCGTACATTTACGCATTAGCAATCATAGATACGCATTACACCACAAAAGTACTGCGTACAACAAGTTGAAGAATACAGGTACGACTTACTTAATGATAGGAATTGAGGTTAACTCGGTGTTTGATTTTTCTCAAAACGGAAGTACACATTCAAAGCCTTTTAGTGACCAGGAATATTCTAGTAATGACGACGACAATCTCCATTTCGGGAGGAAGAATCAAAGATATAGATTAAAATCAATTTCTATGTAGAAAGACTATGCACTAGGCATAACTTTTATTTATTATGGGTTCATAGCCAATTTTTTATCTCTCTCAACTTGCCACATTAATGAAGATTCTTTCAGTTTACTGTTGATACGATATCTTAAATGAAGGAAAAGTTATCTGTCTCTCTGACTCTATGGCACAGTGTATTTTGACCTGCTGTATAATCTTCTTTGTCAAAAAAGAATGCTTTCCAATCTCAGCAAAAATTTTTGTTGGTATTTACAAAATTTATTTAAATAAATGCAGGAACTGAGCTTTGAAGTTTTTTCCCTCTTCAAAGACTCATACTTCGATTACAAGATCAAAATAAAGATCTAAACATTTCTATATAAACATAATACCCTTCAATCTTTTTGCTGAAAATAAAAATCTGCATTGATTTGAAAATCAGGGAGTAAATACACTTTGGGGTGAAAAATTATCTGGAGCTCTGCTATACATGTAACTTATTCTCAGAACATTAAAATTTTGTTTGAAATTTTTTATTAAATGTTAATTTTTTTCTTCCTTTTGAGGTTTTGAACTTATAGGTGATGATGTTATAGGATAATTTCAGACATTTCCATAATCTTGTTTTAATGGTTGAAAATCTTACTGCAGTAGTCCATTAAAGATAATTGTTGAAGAATTAGCCTAGTGTACTTTGTGATTATGTATTTGATTATTGGCTGATGTTGTCCCTGATTTATATTCCTTAGTCTGCGGGGTCATACAATGATATGCAGGGAGTGTCATCATCCTACACCAGGACACAGGCCGATTCAAGTGAGTAACAGTGCCTAGTTCTTCATGGATTGCCATGCATTCAAATACTTCTGGAATGAAGAATAAAATCCTCTGACAGTACTTTTGAAAAAATATTGATAATTTGTTTATATTCAAGGTTATAATCTTTTAGGTTTATAATGATGTTATGCTTGTTTTAGTGTTAGGCCATATAAAATTGAAATCTTGGTTCTCGGGCCCGCGCGCATCCGTTTTGAGGTAGCTGCATTGCCGATTTTATTGTATTTTTGATAAAATAAAAAGTTGGTGTTGCGGAGACCAATCCGGGAAAAAAATTCCGACCTCATTTGTTTCGTAGTTTAGTATTCAAATATCACTTCCGGTAGTCATTTACAATGAGATTTTGGCTACTTCGTTTGAAAATACATTCGAGGACATTACGTACGATGTTTACACGCTGTTAAGCAATGGATAAAGCAGAAATTTTGACCAGAAATGGAAAGTATATCTGTTATTAAAAAAAGGAAATTAAAATTAAAAAAATACCTCCCTCATCTACTTTATTGCCAATAAAATGAAAAATAAAATGCTGCCCTCTCGCATCTGTTTTGGAGAAAATTGGCCTGAGAACCAGGGAATTAAATTTAGATAGCCTTATTATGATAGGATTGCATTTAACTACAGGTTCAGAGGGAGCTAAAAACATCAAAGCTCGCTTTGAGAACATGGCCAAGTCAGGAGAAGAGGAGGCGAAGAAGAGGGCAGAGGAGGAGAGGAAGAGGCGAGAGGCCCGCGAGGAGAGGGAACGAGAGGAGCAGAGGAGGCAGCAGGAGGTGAGGGGTGGATCTAAAGATTTACTTACAAAACCTGTCTATGTGAAGAGTGGATCAAAAAAATATTTCATTACAAATTGTATATTTGAGGAAAGGATCCTAAAGTTTTACCCAAACATTTTTTTTTCGATGGGATGTTTAATTAGTAAATTCTGTTTACAGAATTGGATAATAGGATTTTATTGTAGAAAGTAATTGAATTTAAAAATGGAATTATATTTGTCAAATTTATCAATTGTTGTTGAACGAATTAGTGACATGAATAATGGAATTATAGGCCATGCAAAGTTAATTACTTGGTTCTCAGGCCTTTTTTCAAGAAATATGATGAGGGAGGGAGGCATTTTTTTTTTCTTTTTTTATTGCCCCCAAAACATGATGAGGCAGCTTTTTACATTGTACAAAACCTCAAAAAATGATGAGGGAGGTGATTTGGTGTTTATATTTTATTGATTTAGCAATAAAAAGGGTCAATGAGGCACCCTTGGAAGAGATGAGGGAGGGCCTGAGAACCAAGAAATTAATTTTTTTTTGCCATATTTGTCAAATTTATCAATTCATAATTTAGAATGAATTAGAAAAAGAGTTGAAATGTATCTTACACTGTAACACATCATATGTTAACCCATTAATTTGTCAATGACGTGTAGGAGAGGTTAAATAAAGAGAGGTGGGAGGAAGAACAGAGAGCAGCCAGTCAACCAGAACCTGAACCCGAACCCGAGCCAGAACCACAACAGGAGGAATACGGAGACGTGTCTTATCAACAAGTACACAAAGAGGTAAAATCTAAAACAGTTTTAAAAATTTATATCATGCAATAAACATGCCCAATAACAGCACCAAAGGAATGAAAAA